CAGCAGCACATGGCCTGCAGTCCTTTTCTTTTATTGATCACCAGGATGTCGCATAAAAGAGGCGACTTGTGCCAAAGTCAGGGGTTAAAGAGGACGGTGGTAAATGGACTGGTTCTTAAACAGCACTTTTCTTCTCTCCCAGAGTGCTCAAAGCGCTGCATACAACATGCCTCATTCACACAGGTGCAAACTAATCTACATTCACACACCGATAAACACATCGGAGGGCAACTTGGGGTTCGTATCGTGCCCAAGGATATTTGACATGCAGACTGGGGAAGCTAAGGCTCGAACCACCAACCAGTAGCTGATCTGCTCCACCACCTGAGCCACAGCCACCCAGATGGTGGGGTTGTTGTTTGTTGTTTGTTTGTTTTGTTTTTGCCACAACACCAGTCGACTGCGGTGTCCTTAATAAGTTACAGTTGCAGCACTTCTAACAGCTGGAGCTACGTTTCAACCAGCTCAACAAACATCAGCACGCACACACTGTTTGTGTGTTGCACAGTGTACCTGCTGGCTAAAGGTCCAGCTGCTGCACTTCACAGGGAGAAACGAGAAAGAGCTTCACTCAGACTGGAGAGGAAGAGGAGAGGTTAGGTTGAAAGTGTGGTCTGCTCAGTGGGATTTTATAAACTTATAAAATGTAAATCCTCGTGTTTTTAAATCTTGTGCACAAGACATTGTTTTTTTTAATATCGTGGGATGTGCTACAAATCAAACTGAGGTAGACTAGCTGCTATTCAGAGGCTCCATTACAACCACGTTTAGGACCCGCCCCCCCACTGGATCCACTTTGACCCCTGACGCTGCACATTTTACAGAGGCAAAGTCACCCTCTACAATGTGCAACAGTGTGTCTGTATATTTCCCTTCAGTTTCTTCAGACTCAGGCTGAGTGCAGTTAGAATATCTACTGATATTATTTTATTATTATTTGTATGATAGCACAAGGTTCACAAACCTCATATAGAAACCTCCTTTGTACTGGTTTCAGAGCCTGTACTTTTTACTTTTACTTGAGTAAAGGAGTTGAATCAGTGAGTAGTTTTAAACAGTAGTATTTATACTAATACGTAAGTACAGAACGCCTGTACTTCTCTGCTTAGTTTCTGTTTGGTCTCTGGATTTCAGCTGCATTGGGCTGAAAGGCCGTTAACCTGCCGGCTTTATTCCCCATTTCATAATATGTTCATATATCTGACACGTCCGTCTGCCTTATAAGTTAGTAACACATGTAACTGTCGTTTTTAAATTGTAACATTTTCTCTTTGTATAATTCCTTCATCTTAGTGCATGATCCCACACAGAAGTTTAGCCAGTCTTCATTTGGGCACATTCAAATTGTTATTTTCATGACTCCTGTTGTTCCAGTGAAGATGACAAAATGTGTTTCATCATCGTGAAAAAACGTCCTCATTATTGGTACACATGCTAAACCCTTCCTACATGATGCACCGCGTACTCAAACCCTTTCTCTGACTCAAACCCTAAATCACGCCCGTTTCTCTTGATCGGGTTATTGATTGTGCTACATTATAACTAACAACATTCATACAGGTCCTGATATCTGTAGGATGTTATGATATGTTCCCCTTTTTGTTTAAACAAGTGTTTCCCATAAATGTGCTTCACTTGTAGGTGTGAGATATGTCCACGACACGTGTCAGGAAAAGCAAAGAACCAGCATTAATAACACAGAGCAGGACCTCCAGTCAACCACGGTCGTTTAACTGTGTTTAACTGTGTGCTGGTCAGAGGGGTGAGACCTTCCCCCTCTGTGGGAAAAAAGGCTCAGTGTGATGTCAAAAAGGCCCAAATGAGTGTAATCTGCTCATATTGAACCACCAGGACATTAAGAAATATCTCTGACATGTAAGTGTCCAAATCGTCTTCATGTTTATGGATTTATGGCATTCATTGTTCCTCGTGTAGGTTCAACTCCCCTCCTCTTGTTTTCTTTCTTACAGTTGAGTCAACAGACCTCTGCCCTTTACTCTTAACGTCCAGCCTTCCTTCAGCTGTCCTCAACATGCTCCGTTTCTCCACAGCATGTCTGGACTCTCCAGCAGCAGTGTGGCTCCGTCAGTGCAGCGATGGTCTCCTCTCCGGTGTGCAGATATATTTTCACTTTTGCTGGATGCAGACTTTTGGCCTGGACATCCTTTCTTTTGATTTTGTGAACATTTGCTGTCTTCATTTGTAGATCAGGACAGTCGTCTTTTTAAAGAATGTCCATTTATCTAAAAAAAGACTTTCTGGCTCCATGCTTGTTATTTCTTGCTGTGCTGAGGACTCTCACTATTATCGACCTGGGAGGGGCTGCTGAATCTCTAGGACTAGTGTGGATGTCTGGATGTCCATTTGGGTGGTAGTTTCAGTGCCTGCTGAGCAGCTCTTTTACAAATCTTCCTTTCACTTGCCTCTGGGACCTGGAAGAGGAATGTTATTGGCCTGTTTTGGAGATCTTTGCGGAGAGGATCCATACCCGGTGAAATACCGCAGCACCCAGCGCTGCAACATGACTGTGTCTTGGACCATTCTAGCTCTTTCATGTCCTGGGGGGCAGGCCTGTGGCTCCCCCCACGCACTATTAGATACACAGAAACCTTATGAGCACAGCACGCTCACACACACGGCTGCTGCCTCTAAACATGTCATGTAATATTAATACTGTGTGCTGCTCAGTAACACTTATCATATGTATGTTACTCTTAGTTATACATATGCTGGTTGTTGCTGTGCTTTCCCTGCTGTGTGGTTTTTTTCGGCAGGTATTCAAGCAGATTGTCGTGTTTTTTCTCTCCCTGCCAAACTTGTCTTACTTTCTTATTTTGCTTTTCTGTCTCCCAGTTTTGTCTGTTGTGATTTTAATATCTCAAAATAAAAAAAATCCTAATAAAATATGACATTATAGCAAAAGGCGTAATGGTCTACTTGGGAACATAAATCTGTTTTTGGTCTTCTGACTGCCCACTAAAAACACCTACCCTTGTCATATTCGTTTTCTGAATGAACATATAGAATTTCTGGCAAATATTTGTAACATATTTTCTGTTTTCCAGTCACATGACGTAGTCTGTTCGAAGACATCACCTGCTGGTGCATTCAAGTGCTCTGTGGTGGAACCTGATAAAATTATCAACCAAACAAAAGTTAACCCCCCAAAAAGAACTTTTCACGGTTACTTAATTGGCCTTTAACACACGTCGACACGCGATAGGACAAAAAAACAAATTAAAAAAGAATTAAATATACAAAATTTAAGGCTATTCAAACTAAGAATGTTGCGTTATAAAGCATTTATACTGCGGGCATACATAAAGCATATTTCCTTTCTTAGCACTAACTTTTGTGGCATATTTTTTATATTTACTTTAATTTCCGATAGCAACTGAAGGGGCCATGAGGTACCTTAGCTAATCGCCTCCAACGGCAACCAGCTGAGAGAAAGGGTAGAGAAGACAAGATGGCGGAGTGAGTGGGTTGTACTTTGTACAGACGGTTTCGACCCTTAAAGTTTGCTGAAAACGTCTTTAAAAGATCGAAGAAGCAACGGCACCCGCGAGAGTATAAAGATTAACTTTCGCCCTTCGCCGCAGAGGAAACCTGGACAGTTTCTCCGTTGCGTTTGTTACGACGACGTTAGCTTGATGCTAACGTTAGCTAACGTTAGATTTGACGGACATTAGTTGCTACTTCGAGGTAGCTGGTTGGGTGTTAAAGGCCTTAGGCTTGTTCTAATTTAGTTCTGGATGTTTGTACGTCGATACTAACACGCCATTGAGCGTTTACCTGACCAGTTTGTGTTTTAACTAAGATTATTGTAGCCAGACGTAAGCCAGAAAACTATATATGAGATCTATCGAAGCCTGGTTCATTGGTTGTCGAAAATATTTTGTAGTAACAGCTAGCCCACATTGCCCCCTGTAACACCAAGTGGATATACGGGACGCCGTATGTTCTGCTGACAATCGGGCTAAATTGCCACAGAATTTCCTAAAGCAAATCAGGTGGAATTTGATATCTGGTGGATATGGCGAGCAGCAGTGGCTCTAAAGCAGAGTTCATAGTCGGTGGAAAATACAAACTCGTCAGAAAAATCGGATCAGGATCTTTCGGCGACATATATCTGGCCATCAACATCACAAATGGAGAGGTAATATGGTGCATCTTTCTACATCTTGGACTGTTTAGCTGTCTTTTTGAAGTTGCTAAATAATTTTACCGAATATGACGGTAGCTTTGTCCTATGTGTGCGGTAACTTTATAGGTTGGAAAGTGCACAGCTTCTATTTATCTGCTAGGCTTACACAATACTTTTAGCTGTATTCAGCTTATGAATCCCTGGATGTTAGTAGTAAAAATGGTAAATATTGAAGTGTATTTGTTGTCTCTATTTTTCAGGAAGTAGCTGTTAAATTGGAATCACAAAAGGCCAGACATCCGCAGTTGTTATACGAAAGCAAACTATACAAAATCCTACAAGGCGGTGTCGGGATCCCACACATCAGGTAAGGAGAAATGGTTGGGCGGCACGGCGTCTGTGTCGATACTAACGTGGAAACATTTATTTCGGTCAATAAATGTCGTCCCGTCTGGGAAAAAGACGGCTAACAGTGATTGTGAACCCTGCTGGCATTAGGCCTGCTAATCAGCCCAACAGCTACGAGGACACACTGTGTATTATGTATTTCCAGCCACCGCTTTCAAACGCTTTCCTCTCGGTTCCGTTTGACACGTTTGGCTGCGCGGTGACAGCCGTTTACAGACCCTAGGTGTGTACTTGTATCCTGATTTACAGCTGTTACGGAGCGGAAAGGGGACTGTGTGATTGGAAATGGCCGCTCTTTTGTTGTGCTAGCTTCCAACATGTCCTCCGCTCCCTTGTCAGAAAATGGCGGCGGCGAACAGAAGCGAAAACAGCAGACCATGCCCCACAGTGTGTTTGCAGCGCGTACACGAAGCCTTCACTGGACCCGTCAGCGGGGACACGTAATATTAGTTGCGGTACCTGCTAATAATAACCATTTAGGGTGAGCGGTAATCTTAAAGTACACTAGCTGCGTCCCACTGCCACACTGTATATTTAACTATGCAGTGTGTACACTTCAGTCCGAGCACCAGTGTCGCGATATTTCACCTCTTTGTTCATATCTGTGCCAGAAAGACTGCTTATGATGACGGGTTTGTTTCATTAGTTGTGAGTTGGACCGGTTGTTTTGATGAAAGCGTTACATTTTCTTTAGTGTATGTTTATTTATTACACATGTGACATCACAATAATTTATAGATTCCTGACAGGTCTTGCATGCCTTGATTACCAGCATTAGTAATGGGTAATTGGGTAGCTGCTATTAATGATGTGACCCGTGTTAGATGTAGGGCAGTCTGCAGCTGTCAAAGGTCAACTGGATTTTTCTTTAGTGTGCTGGAAGGCAGAAACTGGAGGCGGATTTCCTCATTTCTGGTTCATTTTTTGGTTTCTGGTTTAACACCCGTCCACTCATGTCCACTCATGTAACCACAGAGCAAACAAACTTTAATCCAGTGTGAACACGCGTCACTACTGACCGTGATATTTCTTATTGTGTTTTCTGAGAGGAGGGACGAGTCATTTAATTAGCTTGGGTCACTTTGTCATCGTGGCACACAGTGTAAAAGGTGGATAACGTGTATTTTTTGTTTGTGGTAGTCATTGAACTGGAGGTTTAATTAAAAGCTGGAATCCTAATTTTTTTTTTTTTAAATATCGATGTGTAATTGGTCGGGGCAAAATGTAGGTGACAGAAATAAACAAAATAAGACGTCTGTTAGAAGATCCAAAAGGCATCAAGACAGGATGAGCTGGGAAATGATCAGAGCTGACCTGGACCTGCCCCTCATTCTTATTGGTTTTGAGTCCACCCTGCCGTGCAGGTGGACTCTGACCCATCCTGGACATGCCTACCTTTTGGCAGATCTAGTTCAGTCACTACTCTCTGGGTAAACCCACAGACCGGTTGAGCTGAGCTTCAGACTCTAACTGTACCTTCGAATGTTGTTTGACATCATTGATCACTGAACAAATTTCAATAAGAAGTATTCCAAAAACCGACTGCATTTTAAAATGAACAGTTAAACCTCCTTCACCTGCATCATCACTCCTGCTGAAGAACAGATTATTGGTGTCCCTCAGCTGGACAGTCGCTCCCTGTAGATGAGTGCTGATCACCTGCTTGCTTTGTTCAGATGCTCTTGATACTGTTGCTCCTTTTAAAACTGAGTGTGTTAAACCTAAAAAAAGCTGCCTGGCTACACAACGTGACTCAATGTGCTCTTAGAAATGAAGAAGAAAAAACCTTCAGCTGTCCTTTGATATGTTAAGCCCTGTTTGGTTAGAGGAAGGATTTTAGGACAGAAGTATTTATCAGACATCATCTGTAATTCCTGTCACAGACCTCGTGTCTTATTAACACCATTAGTTCTTTTATCAACCACCAAACACTTTCCAGGGTCTCCAGCCACCTGTGAAAACTCTTGTTTTTGTCAATAAGGTCACTGCTATCAGCTCTCATATCACTCCAGCTTCTGTTCCCCCAAATTTATCAGCCGTTCGATCCCTTTGAGCCTGTTTCTCTGTGTCGCCTTGACATTATCCCCACTCGTCATTTTAAAGACGTCTATTGGACCTCGTGTGTTGTCCATTATTAACACCTGTCTTCTAATGGAAACTGTACCAACGGATTTCAAGCACGCCATGGTGCAGCAGCCATTTCTCAAAAGAAATAAATATATTTAGGTAACGTTTAGACATCATATCTTCACTCAGATATTCACATTGTGACAAAGCGTGATAGTCAATAGTTTAATTTTTATAAAAAAAGAAAGATTAACCTGTTTTTGGCATTTCGACTTCATGCATCAAACTGTCCAAAGCAGCCACGTGATAATGTTCATATTTGACCTTCAGAACAAGCTGCTGATCATGTACCGTTTGTTAATGCTCCCGGCACTCGTTTCAGCATTTAAGTGTTCTATTAAAAAAATAAAAATTCATTTTGTATCTCAGACTTGTAGCTGGATTTTCTAAGGTCAGCGCTTGCAAGCAGGTTTCATACCAGAGGGGAAAATCCCCTCCAAACTAAAACAGCCACTTTTCTTTCATTGGTTACAAAATGTACCACATGAGCCAATCAGAAATGATGTGGCAACACGTGGCATATGGTTGCTTAGAAAGAGAGGAAAGTTTTGGGAGTGATGGCGAGTTTGAAATGTGAGAGATTTGACATTGAATGTGTTTGGAGTGTGTAGTTGGTGTGTAGTGTAGCCATTTGTTTTGTGTGTTAAAACAAGGAGACGACTAAAAAGCCACCAAAGCCTTCTGTCATTGTACATGTAGAACAACTGTGTATGGAATAAAAACATAAATGTTAGGGCAGCAACAATACACCCGTCTGTGTTGTGGTGGACAAGAACTATCACAAATAATTAGTGGCGTGTTGTCTCACCCCTGTTCTGTAAGTCGAACAAAAAAGGAATTTGCTGCAGTTTTATATGAATGGTTGGACAGAACTTTGTTTTCCACCTTATATTTGTATTTCAAATAATGAAAAGCTTTCTTTGAACATGTTGGTGGTTTTCACATTCAGTTTTGTTGTTTTTGGAGTTTTTTCTTTCAACTTTTCCCTACTCGGACTAGATTGTCAAACGTAGAATCCAAGTATGCTCGCAGCAGATGGCCCCGCCCCTCCCTGAGGCTGGTTCTGCTGGAGGTTTCTTCCTGTTAAAAGGGAGTTGTTCCTTCCCACTGTCACCAAAGTGCTGCTCATAGGTGTGATATGATTGCTGGTGTTTTACCTGTTTTCTTTGGTATTGTAGGGTCTGTAAAGCGCCTTGAGACAACTGTTGTGATTTAGCGCTAAATGAGATTAAATTTTATGATCCTTCACATCAATTAAAATTTGTATCTATCTATCACTCTCCTCAGCCTTTGGCAATACTACGCAGATGAATGGTCTCTAGCAACATACATGACCTGTGATTAGGCTGAACGGCCATGTCCATCTCAGTAATGTATGTGTTCATTTAATAAACTACATCTAAACTGAGCCTGCATCTGTTTGTTGAAAGACATAATTACACACTAATCAGTGGATAGTTAGGAGTACTGTATTTGTTTGTTCCCAGTTAAACTCGACTTTCAGTGAAACGACTGACGTTGGTATTTAACAGTGTGCTAAACGGTTTATGCGGCAGCTTTTCTGACGTGTTTACATTCTGGTAGTCATCTGTTCATGTCATATACCGTCGTCGGGGTCTGAGGAGAACATAGTCTGGTCAGATGAGACTGGGATGGGATGCCTGAGTACACACAGTGTTTAGAGGCCAAAAGACACTGCATATTAGCCCAAAAACAGGGACGTCTGCAGCTGGGAACATAATAGTGTGGGGCTATTTTTCATACGGCGCTGGCATGCTTCATTGATGGAAGGATTAATGGACGAATGTACTGAGATGTTCTTGATAAAAATCTGCTGCCACCTACTGAGGATCAACAGTAGCTGTGTCCAACTCTGTGATCCCATTATTACACATCATTTATGGACATCTATGGTTTGAATTTGCATATGTGGATTAGAGGGGTTGTTACCAACATCTGGTGAGAATCTCCTGTCAACAGTTGCTTTGTAATGCTGTGAAATGTTTTCTAGGGTTATGTAGCCTGAAAATCCTATAAAAGCCTTAATAGCCACTAGTATGGGTTATTAAAATGGTTGTAAACCATAAATCCCAGTTTAGGGTTGTTTCACTTTGGCTTTTTTGTCATTTAAGTGTAAAGTAAGTTTCCACTTTAACTGTATTGCAAACAGGCTGTGTTCCGTGAGTCTTGGTGCTCATAGTTCTGGTTTCATGTTGAAACAGTCTTGCCTACAGCCTGCCCAACCTGCTGATCTTGCTGCCTCTCCTACATTCCTGCTACAGTCTGACTTGACTTATTCAGGCCCCACCTATACCAGTTTGTGCAACTTCCTCACTGTGGCTCGGGCTTTTTGTTTTATGTGTGTGTAAAGAAGTGACTCAAGCCTTGTGTTGGGGTCATGATTATGGCCTGCGAATGTTACAGAATTGTGTGCATATTGTGACTATAGTTGATTCCCACCAGACTTGTGGATTGAAAATATATCGTGCCATAAGATAATTATGGCAGTTACAAGTAGGGTTGTTCCTGGGAACTCATTTCTTAGTCTCTCTTTTTTTTTTTTTTTTTGGTCTTGTTTAGTTGACTAATCAGCTCGTCTAAAACTAAGAGACTGATGTCATTAAATTTGAGTCCCCGTTTAATGGGCAGTGTCAAAAACGAAGGCATTTGTAACCGTTAATTCCTTAACAAGGAATCATGACGCTTGACCCTCATTGCTATACACCTTTCATCTCCACCTGGTTTATTTAAAGTATCATCATCGTGTATTTATATAGCACTTTAAAAACACACCGGGTAGACCAAAGTGCTGATCAATACAAATATAAATAAAGTAATACAATAGCAAAAACCAAACCTAGCAATAAAATTACACAGAGTGGTAACTGTGGGTAACTGTAGTATAAATTGTCAGTCGATCTTGTTACACCTTCAGTATTACTTCAATCAAATGCAGTACCACAAACTGTTCCCTTCATTTTGAAATGTCGCCTCTAGACCTTGTTGACATAAAAGTACAGGCTGTTCTGAGTGAAAACAAAATGAAACTATGAAGTTAACGTTAGTGAGACTGCAGTTTTGTTTTAAATCATTTGAGTTTTTTCAGTGGCAGCACACAATCACACCCGTTTCCCTCTGGGCTCAAAATTTCCCCCCAATGTTTGATAGTTTAAAAAATATAAAGTGGATTAATCACTCACTTATGTTACTTTTAATTAAAAGTTTATTCAAACACAAAGATTTTGTTATTCCATTTCAAATCGAAGGTCAATAAACCCCCTACTTCCATTAGTACCTATTTGGATTCGCCAAGTCATGGGACATCATAGCACGGGCCTCAGTGAAGGCAGACTTTAATGACAACTGAGCCTTTCCTCAGTTCCCACCATTTACAGGCCAACGGCATACAAAGTAAAATTGTCACAGGTATCATTTTTCGCCCTTGGAGACCTTCTGTAATGTTATGGACAACTTAATGTGCACCAGCATGGTTGCCACCATGTGTAGCTGGACCTGGTGTTACATACTGCCCATATTTTTGCCACAGATTTACTGGTTTACTCGCTGTAGCTTCTTTACTCAATAGGTGCACATCAGCAAGAATCAACATACCCACACATGTCTGTACTAAGGCCGCCACAAACGATTATTTTGATAGTCGACTAGTCACCGATTATTTTTGCGATTAGTCGACTAATCAGATCATCATCCATTGGACGTAAAAC